TTTCAGTCTTGATTACTGCACAAGATACTGAGGATCTTAATTATCCTAAGTAGCTAATCTTTTTAAGCAGAGGGTTCAGAGTGCATCCATTCTTGGTAATGTATTGTACTCTCTGACTCCAGCACCGAGGAATTAAAAGTGATTTAAGCTAATTCCACTATGAGACATAAATAGCACATAATTTCTAATTTCATTTGGTTGAGATGGCCAAAGTATCTGGCCACGAGCAAGTTCTTCTTTTCATTTACAGAAGTGGGATTCATGCTGTTTTAAGGAATGTACTGTGTTTCTCTAATCCCAGGCCTAAGTCAGAGGCAGCAAGTGAAAGGCATTTTCTTCTTTCAGAAAGAAGCTATTGTATTCATATAACTGTGATATGCTTTTGTAATGACTGTCTAGCAAAATTATGTGCACTTGCTAAGCACCTTGTACTGCTTGAAGTGTGGAGTTATTTTTGCAAGCATACATCCTGAAGTAAAGCTATTATTGCCATCACACCCAAGCATTCAAACTGAAAGATTGTTTCAGAAAGAGATTTATTTTAATGCAAAGTCCAGATCCTACATTCCATTCGTGCTTCACGCTTACAGAAACTAATGGGACTTAAGAAAGAACACCTGAAGAACAGGCCTAGATAAGTCTTTTCCGCTACCAAACTGTGGCACATTATGATGCATACATATGGAAATAGGATCTTCCATCTACTTACTCAGACTTAAACACTCTTTTCAGTTTCTGATTTCTAGTTAGCAATCACTTCTTTAATGTATAATAAAGCCAGTGCAGTAATAGCTTGCAACACCTCCACTGTTGCAGCTATTGCACAAAATGGAGGTCTGATGAATTCTATTCAGAGGAAAAATACAAAGACAGGAGATTCAGCTCTGACGTCATCACTGTGTTCTATCACTGGCTTCCAAGAGGCACATTTGCAAATGACAATGAGGAACACATCTTCTCATAGTAACGGCAGAACTATCTTTGAACGTTAAGAGATACAAGTGTGCTTTCTGGAAATACTAAAGTACATTGCAGTCTATTTAGGTGGCCTCTGCAGACTACCATTCATAAAGGACAAACTCCCTGTCATTCAGAAAACAGTAACAACATCTGTGATAGGGCCTTACAGATAGGACTGAACAACTTGATTTAACTTCGGAGTTAGCTCTACTTTGAGCAGATGGTTGGAACAGCTGACCTCCAGAAGTCCCTTCCAAACCATTTAAATTATTCTGTGATCCTGATCTATTTTGTCCTTTTTAGACTGAGTAAAATGGTTCAAATTGAATTTCTCAGCTGACAAAGGGACCAATGAAAATAAAGAAATAACCTAAAACAACCTTAGGAGCATGTTTATGGTTTTTTAAGTGGTATAGAAAAACCACACAGGTCTTTCCTTCTGTTTGTTTCTGTAATATGTGGTGTTCTGTGATGCTACAATGTTGGGAGGCAGTACAAAAATATTCTATAAGGCCATCTTGGTTTGGGATAAAATAAATAAAACTAAACTAAACTAAACTAAAACAAAATACAAATTCTCAGGCCTTCAAAGAATGGTATGAGCACTGAATTCAGGAGTACAACAGAAATTCTGAGCAATTATTACTATAGAAAATAAATAAATCTATTCTAACTAAATGAAATACTGCTATTTAAGTAGCTGTTAAAGTTTTCATTTCAGCGAAAGAAACTCCCTATCAACATAACATACTGGTTTAAATGTCTTCATCTTAAAAAAAAATTAAAATCCATATAACGTATTTATTTCATCACCAGTGCAACCATATCTTGTTAGGACCATGAAGTCTATCACAGAAAGTACAAAAAAATCTTCAAAATCAAACCAAGCAAAGATTGCTACAACCAATTGAAATTTTGCTCAATTTACAAATATCCAACATGTTCAAGCTTGCAAATTTTATTTCTTCAATTATTTTTTTATGTTACCTCTTACCATTATCAACATACTTATTTCACATGGTTTCATGACAGTTCTCTCATCTTTATTTGTTTTAAATCACACATCCTGATTTAGGACTATAGAATATCTGTGTTCCACCACCAAACAAGTGCTGGTTTTAATGGCAAGAAAAAATAACTGGAGCAATCAACAGGGCCTCCTGGTTTCACACACCATGTAGGAGACAGAGAGGACAATTCTCTGTCAGAAAGGATGTGAACTCTGACTGCCTATCTGCAATGAAAATAGCCTAGACACCAGGCAATTGATGAAGTTAAATTTTCTCTCATTATTTTCTATTGCAGTTGCTGCACTCTTAGACTTCTTATAACTCCCTAAACATGACGAGACAGCGCAGTTCATAAAGCAGAAAGATGTGTGGGGACATCTCCCAGCACAGCTGGCTCCAGTAACTGCTGTCTTTCATAAAGACGGGACACAGCCAATATGCTTCTCCTGCTGTGTTCCTTGCACGGTGAAACAGACTTGCTCTGCAGTAAATTGTCACTAGTAAATTTACAGTCAGTATCTCATCTATGTACTGCATAACCTCCAAACTCCTGTAAGAGCTCATAGAAGCTGCTAGCTTCTCGGGAGCAGGTAACTGGCTATATTTCAGTTCCACATGAGGTAATGGTTCCTGCTGAGTTACTCAGAACATATGCTGTCACTCAGAACTCTACTTCCTTTTAAGAAAAGAAAGGAAAAAGGCCTGAGAAACGGCTATGTTCTGCCCTCTTCACATACCTTTGCCATCACTGTTTTGTGAGAAAAAATGAAGGTGTCTTCTACTGTGTGTCTGGCGCATGTACCTAAATACCACAGTGCATGTGACAGAGCTTGCTCACAGCACATGATGAAGATGGACCTCCGGGTGTCTCCCTTATATAGCTGGATGTATAGAGATTCACAAAAGATGAGTCAGCTGTACAGTCAGTTACTCAAGAACAAAACTAATCCATCCCTCACACAAGGTGACAGCATGTAAATCCACGTAATTTCTAACAGGTCTGCGCCGTATCTGTCTTTGAAGATCTCCAATTGTGGAGATTACACCACTCTCAAACACTTTTATTTCCAGACTATGAGCCACTATGAGAATGCTGATTACTTTATTTCTTTTTATAGGCATCTATAGTCTTTAATACAAATATTACCTCCAGGTACGTAACACAGGGTAGTATTCAGCTCCAGATTTATATGTCAATATTTAGGCATCTACGACACAATGTCTACTTATAAGCTCAATATCTAAGTTATCATTATAATTGGTTGACAACTAGCTCAAGGAATCTTCTTTGGAACAGGAATAGTGCTGTATTGGTTGTGATTCTTTTCTCCATTAATTTTGGAAAACTATTAATATGGCACATTTCACTAGGGGTGCTGGCATTTTGGTCATAGGACTCACAGTGTTTCTTATGCAAACAGGCTGAAAGGGAAACAGCTGCAGCTGGATCAACTGTTGTACTGGGCTGAATTTTGCTTGCAGAGTGTGAGTTGTACAAACTTATGCCAGTGGGAGTCATCACAGTCTCCTTATCTTTGACTCCTTCTCCTAATTTTTTTAAGTTCAGTCTGCTGAGAATTGAACCTGAGCTCACAGAGAGATGTTAGGTGTCTCTAAGCCTTCTACAAATGAGTTGTCTAGGCTCCCTTCTGCACTCAGTAAGGAAGAGAGGCATCTCCAGGGAATGATTCTGCTGCTGAATGAGATGAATTGCCTCAGAAGTCACCTGCTTTTCTTTTCTGATATAAAAGGAGCTTGGACAATGAGTTGTATCTCACTTGCAGAAAGCTAAAGCTTAAGGTGATCAGTTCAAAGCTCAGAATATGTAAATCTCACTTTGGATAATCAAAACTGTATTTTTTAAGTAAGCTTAGCATTCATAATTAAAAATCCCTCAACTTTTATTTAAATTTTAAATTATTCCAGCTTTTCATGAGGTTAGGCAAATATGAGATATAGTGAGGAAAGCTAGAAAAAATGAAAACTAACATAGCCAAGATGGGGACAAACATTTAAAATGTGTAAGTAGTCAGGCTGAGCTGAAGCTTGCAGATTTTATGGAAGAATAAGAATTTTATGATTCTATGATTATCCATCTTATAGGCCTTTAATTCAAAGTCAAAAATTGAGTGGATTTTATACATGTGCTACTGCTGCACATGGAGATTGCTCCAAGTTAAAACATAACAGTGTCAGCACATTTTCAGATAACATTGTATGAATCCGTCGTGGCTAAGCTGGAGCAATGTGTAACAACCTATATGCTCCTAAAAGGCACGAAAGGAAAATTCCTTTTTTAATTTCTTATTCTGATTAGACACTTAAAGTTTATGGCATTTTCCTTTAGACTGGAAAATTTAAACATAAAATTGTTGTTAGATTTTCCTGAAAAACAAGAGGGTGAACGCAGCCTAGCAAAAAAACAACTTACAGATTTTTCCAGTGGTTGTGGCCAATTATTCATCCTTCTGTAATTCAAGATGACTGATAAAGTTTGGCATAAAGCCTATCATGGCCCTAACATAAGAAACTACAGCTTTAAATTTTGTAGTTTGAACTGCAGTTTAATGACTCAAGTGATACTGTAGTGTCATTAGATGAAATTTTGCCCGAGAACTGTACATGCCTGCGACCCTCCAACCACACTTCCAGGGAGACAATACTCATAGCCACAAAAGCTCCTCGGAACATTAGACCAAGTTTGGCTTCATATTTAAAATTTTACTGAAGCAATTTCTACTGAAATAAAAATTATCTCAGCTGTGGCAAGATTCAGTGTCCCAACGTGACTGACTGTAATTTTAGGATAGCTAATTCATGTAATTTCCTTCTGCGAGACATTTACACAGACAACACAAAGTGAGACCAATGTTTCATTCAAACATGAAGGTGAAAGGATGGAAGTATCGGTGTAGGATTTAACTTTGAATTATTGTATGAGGTTCATCACATTATGGTAATGTTCTACAACTCTGATGCTGTTGATGAAAGCTCCTCAGAAAAAAACAGTAAAACAAAAATTTGACAAACCTGTCTTCTTCCAGTATACTTTGACCTGAAGTTGATTGTCCTGATAGAAAGGACTTCCAATTTTAAGAAAACGAGTGGGTTTTCTTCTTTGAAAGGTTGGGTAACGATCTACCAGTCCTTTCTGGGGTTTCCCAGCAGAAGATGTTCGTTCCTCTGCAACACACAGAACAATCAGGAAATTATTTATGTGCTGTATAATGACTATGTTAACAGTGCTGCAATTCAAAAATTATACTATCTTTAATCCAAATTATCTTATTTCAGTATCTTACCCAAATGAAATTAACATAAATAACAAGTTGTCCATAATGGTTGAAAAACATATTATTTGTTTGAAATTCAGTCAGAAAATATTTTAGACAGAGAGAGAAAAAGAGAAATATAATTGAGTATGAAAATGCTCTGTAAATTTTCAAAGGAATCATAAGGAAAGGGAGTGCATTTATATCCCCGAGAACTAGAAATGTTAACACACTGACTTAAAGAGTCAGGCGTAGTATCTGTAGTATCTGTATAATCATTCACGGCCTTTATATTTGTGCAGTGTTTGAATATACACAAAACCCAAGGACGGCATTGAGTGTAACCCACAGAGTACCACATGTGGTTATTACATCAAAGTAAACGCAGTCCTTTGGTATGCTATGTAGGAACACTGTGGTCAGATTAAAGATCTTTCTTGCCCACTTTCCTGTTTCCAACAGTGAACACTGAATGCTTAGGAAAACACTGTAAGAGCAAAATTAACTTTGAGCAATCCCCTTGGTGTTATGTATCTAGCTTCCAACAGCCAATGGTAATGGGATGTCCTTCATCAAGAATTTCATTTAGCAACAGTTTATCAACATTTAGCAGAGTTGATAATATTTATAGATCTTTCCAGCTGAAAAGGCATCAATGCTCATTCAAACTGCATTTTCATTGCACACATGTGAATACATCCATTCCAAATCAGAGAACAGTATTTGCATCAGATTTAAAAAAGCTGTATTTAATTTATTATTACACATAAATGAAAAATAAAGATTTCAATAATAAAGAAGTGGAAAATTATTAATTACATACTTGAGAGAAAGTAAGATTCAAGTTTCAATAATTATCATGAGTAACATGTAAACTTGAATATTTTGCCCTATATATAGCTTCAGTTGAAACCCACTTGCTTTTTGGCCAAATCTTACTTTCTTAATCCTTTTCTTAATCTGATACAATTTTACATTTTCTTCCCTTGCTTTAAATTAAAGCAAAACTACCAAACTTAAGAAAATTATTAAATTATTTTTCAAGGTAACCATAATGTTTATACTACCTGAAAGGAAATAAAAAAAAGTGATAGAGAGAAGTAGACTTAAATTTACTTGGCATACCTCAATTGAAAGGATTTTAATTTTACTAAGTATCTGCTTTTATGTTCTCTCTCTGTTTCACTTCCAGAAAAATGAGGACACAGATTTAGAATATGTCTATATAAAGACCAAGAGAGTTAGTCTTGCTACATTTCCCAGAAGCAAAGCTTACAAATATAGTGAGGCAATGCATTTCTGAGTGTGGGGAAACGTAATGCCAGAGGGCCAGGGTCAAAGCTCACAGAGGTCTGCAGGACTAAATTACTTCAGTGGGTTACGGATTATTTTTTATTCTGACAATAGGAAAAGACACCGAAAAAAAACAGAGCTTAATTCCACAGACAGCAGAAAACTGACAGAGGGACTTCAACAAAATTGGCATGTTGCTTCTGGAGCTACTTCCCAAAGGCCACAGAAGTCCCCATATAAAGACAGGCCTTGAATGTCATGTCCTAGATAATATTCAGGCAACATTTTCCTTTTTCTTTTTCACATTTCTCCATCTGCTTCTGAGAACTCTCAAAAGTACCTCAAGCAGAACTGGCTCTGTTCCTAACTTCAGTGAGATTCAGAAGATGAATTTGCATCTCCTACAGGAGTAGGGTTTTTGTTTTTCTATGTAAGCTATAATTTAGCCATTTTAAAAAAAATTGTCCAAAGAGGTCTAAATACACTTCTCAAAAGAGTGCTCTATCCACTAAAATATGTGATATTAGCGCTCAGGCACTAAGAAAATACTGCTCATTAGCTAAATGTATGTTCATAACTTGAACATTACAGTCAAATACTTTGAGTATATAAGAAAATAAAAATATTACTCTTAGTATAGTATTAGTTTGGTTTAAAAAACAATACAACAATTAATAAACCTTTTGGTCCAAGGAGGTCACCACAGCAAAACGAAATAAAGCACAAGGCATTGGAAAGTCTATAATGAAGAAATCACCAAAGGCACATATGAGGTACAGGGTAAATGAACTCAATTTGGACATTAGGAGATAGCAGACTTTCACAGAAACTGCTGATGGACTGTTTTCTGAAGTAAAACAACCAATGAGAGGGCAAATTATTCAAGCAAAATTGTGGAAGGAATTTAAATCTAGCTGTGACAATGACAGGAAATAGGTGCCACTGGAGTAGACTCAAGATGATGAAACCACCAAAGGCACGTATGACATACATGCTAAATGAACTCCATTTGGTAGAGGATACAAACTTTTGCAGAGGGAAAAGTGAAACAAAAATCTTCCTCTCCCAACACAAACCCACTGGTGATACAGACTGTGACAGACAGAACATTAGTGAGGCCATGGAGAGAGCTGATACTACCAGCAAAAGGGTTTCTCACAGTAAGTGCAGAATGGTATAGAAAAATGACACAGTCCAGTATCAGTTACCTTCAGTTTAGAGGGTTTTTGTTACATGGAAAGTCTTTATTACTGTCATGTTTAAATACTATGAAGATGAAACCTAATGTCAGGACTAGCAATAAAGCCTGACAAACATCAGTTGATTAATTATCCCTGCTGCCAAGAGGGGAAAGTTTGTGAAACTATTCTCAAAGTAAAATGAGAGAGAAGAAGTTCAACAGCTTGCCCAATGTCACTTTGGCTAGGCGTGTATAATGGTACCCAGGATTTCCTCCAAGTCACCAGGACACAGCCCAGCCTCAGATCCAGGTGAAATCCAGGCACCAGCCTTCCTCTGTGATTGGATGTAAACTCAATTCAGTTGCATGTTCTTTCTCAGAGCTGTGATGTGATATGATGAAATGACATTCAAGATGATTGGACTGAAAACTAAACACCCTGAAGTTTAGCACTGAGATACAGGAACTTCACAGAAACTTCTAATCAGAAGAGAAAACAAAACACGAGAAGGAAGGATGGTAAAAAAAAAAAAAGTATTTTTTTTTTTAAATTTGAGAAATCATGATATAAAACATTCAAATTCTAGATACAGAATAGATAAAGCATTCAGGTGTTTGAATACAATTACTCACTATTATTCCTGGTGTCCTGAGTTGTACTAAAATGGAGAGAAACCTTAGCGCTTTTTAGGCGTATCTGGCCCCAGCGTGTTACTGCTTGCAGTTCTACATTGTAGTTGCTGTTGGGTTGAAGTCCTTCCAGGACCACATAATTTTGGGCCTATAACAGAATAAAAATACAAAGCAGTTATAGTATTACTGAAACAGGCAGTTAATAAAAGCAGGCCTGTTATGTTAGGCACACTACTTTTTTGAAATTAGAAAATAAACTCAAGTATGTATTTCAACAGAGCAAAATTTCCTTGCTTTAAAATGTATTTTATTAGGCTCTGATTTTCTGCATAATTTTTAAAATACTACCCTTCCTGATGTTTACATAATTTTGGTAATTCCTTGGCAAATACAGACGCCTATTGTATAGGAAAAAAAAAAAAGGGTGTTTTTCTACATAACATTTTCTTCTGCTAAAACTATTTTAGCCAAAGAACTTTATATTGTTTATTTCCCAGTTTGTTTTAGCAAACAAATTGGAAACTTTTTCTAGACAGCCAGTTTGCAGACAGCTAAAATCCAACATTCACTACATTTTTCAACATATTCTATTTATTGCAACCATTCAACTTCATGCTCCAGAAAAACAATTACGGTGAGACAGGAGTAATATGAAATATATTCTAAGAGCCTACCTTTTCTCTATAATATGTCCTGGATCTTCTGGATTTCCCTATAGTCAAGGTCAGAACTTGGTTCCAATTACTGTAATGTTGTGTATTGGATCTATTGTAACATATTTATAGGTAGGATGTACCCTATGCAAAATGCCAACACAAAATTAAGGACCCAGCTCAATCTTACAATTCTTTGGGTTTTGTTGTTTAAGGACCAGCTTGTGGAGAAAAAGCTCCCCTGTACCTTTAGGCCGTAGCCTCTGTCATGAAGATCTCCAGCCAATCTCAGCTTTTCAGAGAAACACGAACTTTTCTACATAGCACAGGCCAAACCTACTCCTGTCTTGCCAAAGTGTACAACAAAGAACTAACTTTCTGTTCTGTATTTACTTGCACAAGTTCAGCACACAGCCTTCATTACCTTCATTTCTCTGAGGGTTTGGTGACTGAGGGACAGAGGGAACTACAACTTTTCAGCTGTCATTCATCACATTGAAGGTGGACAGCCATAGCCAAAACACGGATCTAACATAGACCTGAGACCCATAATACACTTATTAAAAACATTGAGAATTAAGTTTAGGCCTGTAATCTGTAAATTATTTCTATTTCTATTAATTACTTTAAAACAATATGCAATATGCTTAGGGATATCGCAACAAATAATTTTCCAGTAAAGCAGTATTTTATACATCATTCAAAAAACTCATAGGAGCTGGCTGCTAAGGAAATATGTCAGATCTGTGGTACAGAGGCTTATTTGAAGAGTTTTCAGTTGTTGTTGTTGGTTTTTTTTTTTCCCTTGGACCTATACTGACTATTTAATGGTTACTCTGTATCACAGTGTCACAAGTTTTACATGCATAGCGAAAAGACAATGTGACAGACGATGTTAGCTTTTCAAATAAAACAAAGCACTGTATCTTTAAGAAACACTAAAAAAATAAGCCTGAATTTAGGGGACAAATAGCATTTAGCTTTCTATTCTTTCCTGCAAAATCTGATGGCAGTTACCTGCATTTTAAGGCGGAAGTCTACTTCTCTCCCTGAGTTCAGCGAAAGATAGGGCCTGGGAGATCAAAACTGTGTATGGGGTTGGTGATATTAAAATTAAGACCACTAGTTTACCAGTTGCTGAAATCATTGCAATTTCTCACATATTTTATACTTACACTCTATTTTGTGACAGAAAAAAGCCATACTTCTGTCTCATTTACTATTTTATTTCTTACCCCATCGGTAATCTTCCTTCTCTTTTTTTTGGCTGGGATTACATATTTGCTGTATGTCCAGCTCCAGAAGACTTTGTAGTGGTGCACTGGGATATCAGGCTCTTCTGGAAGAACCCAAGTAATCATTACATTTACACTCCCATCATTGTTTGCACTGATATTGGCAATTCTGATATTAGATGGAGCTGGTGGAGCAGAGGGATCTAGAATTTAAAGCAAACAAAAATATTCTAAAGTAAAGATCATCTTCAGTAAGGTAAAGATCGTCTTCATTTTACGCATTTACCAGGCATACATGAGCTGAATTAAACATTCTCAATACACTGAAGAAAACTGAAGCAAAAATTTCCAATAAGTGATATGGCTTCTTATAAATTCTAGAAATTCAAACTTTACTGAAATAAAAATTATGGGTTAGCATCTGGTTTTGTCATTAGTCTGTACAGTTGGTAGTTCACAAACATTATAAAGCTTTACCAAAATGTACTAACTAGGCTATCAGTTTTACTTCAGTGATACACTACTTTAAATACATAGCGAGTGTTAAACACTCCTCTCCTGAAAGTGGCTTTGTACAGTTATCACAGAATTGCGTGGTGGAAACACTGAATATTTTTTGGTGTTGCCTGACAATTCTAAGATGAAAAAAATAAATTTCTACTTGTTGAGCCTTTCTTCAAAATTCTAGCATTGATATCTGTGGGACATAAACACTTTCTTAGAATAAATATTAATTAAGATGTAATAATATATTATGCTTTCATACAAGTCAAACATTGGTGACAAAATATAACCCAACTGCCAAAACAAAATTAATAAAAAAAAGGACATTCATAATAATTAAGCTGTGTTATGAAGCTGTAGCCAAGAAAAAAAAAATCTGATCAAAAAAAAACCCGTTTTCATATAACTTTTTAGCAAAATGAGCCACCACTTATTTGCCAGAAATAAAACTGGAGATGTGCAGAGGGGACACCAGGCATTAATTTACTTCATGGTTCACCTGCACCTTTTTATAATGGTAAATGCGCTGCTAAATACACTTTCCAGGCATACTATGTTCATCAGATAATCCCTGTCACAAACTGTCTCACTGAAAAATTCCACCATTTAGTTCATGCAAACAGACACATTCAGAATTAATAAAGACAGCATTTCCCTTTTAAAGACCAGCAAATGTGAAATAATTGCTCATTCCTGTTATTTAACAAGACGCTTGGTTAAATAACAATGGATGCTATGCTCCTGTTTCCTCACACATGCTATTTTAGTTAAATAGTAATGGATGCCGCTGTTTCCTCACATATATAATACAACCTAACTTTTGGCCATAGAAGTTACAAATATTCGAGTTCAAAAATTCTGGAAATTTAAATTAATTTTCAAAATAATGAGAATTGTGGTTTTTTTGGGGGGTTGGTTTTTTTTTTTTATAGCAGCTTGCAAGCCAGATCCCTTTATGGGAGCCTTTTCTATAAGTATAAAAGCTATTTATATTGGAATGGATAAATTTAAGAATTAGTTTAGTTAAATGGTTTATACTGTTCTCTAACACAATTTTCATTTACTTCTACTGGTTGATAAGTAGATATAAAATGAAATTTAGGTATAATAAATATGAGCAAAATAATGATTCACAAATCCAAAACATTTATAAGTATTCATCTTCATTAATTTAAAATGATAGGTGTTTTTTATGTTATATGACAATGTCTTACAGCAATAAAAGATTTATAACCTGGAGTACAACATGATCATATTACTGTAGGTGAATTATTCAGGTTATGTCCCAGAAGTACTATGCATCATGTATTATTTATAGATAACATATGGGATAGAATTAAAGTGTTTCAGAGAATATGTCTTCACAAATGGTCAGATGTAAGAAAAAAAAATTTAAACATAAAATATATTTGTCTTCATTCTGTATCTATGAAAGACTGTGAGTCATTAAAAAAAAAACATAAATCTAAAAGTTGAATGAAATAGCTCTTCCGGACAAAATTATTTAAAATATTATGAAAATCTATTCACCTGTTTTTCATAGGTCTGGCAGCAAATGACAAAATTAATGTTCTGCCTTTTCAAATGTTTCTGTCCCCTTAAGAAAACAAGACAGTGTGTAAATTTTCCTTGTAAAAAGTTAACAATTGACCAGAATGGAGCTTTTATGTGTCTCAGAATCACAGGAATTTGTTTGTTTGTTTCTTTCTTTCTTTTAAGGTAACTTCAAACACCCCTGTTTCTCCCAGTGACATAAGAAGAAAGAGAAATCTGTAAGGAAGAACTACATGCATAAAGAAACCAATAGATCATTCCTTCTGCCTTCTAGAGCACAAGAATTTCACCCTGTACTCTTTATAATTGCTCAGCTTATAGCAAACATTTCTTTATCAATAGCACTTCACCTGTGTTTGCTAGAAACAGTCCAGTCAGCAGACAAAGCACTGATCCATGTTTAAAAGAAAACACAGTAGTGTTCCTCCTTTGCTACAGGAGAATGCAAACGTTGTATTAAAAAGGCATTGGGTAATTGCAGTTAAAAAAAGAAAGAACACCTTTTTAAAAGGAATATAGATGTGAAATAAAACAGCAATAGCAGAAACATTTTCCTAAATGCCCTCTTTCTTCAAAGTCTCTCTTTTGCAAGCCTCACAAATGTTATCCTCAAAAATGACTTTGAAAAGGGGGAAGAATGGTGGTGCTAGGAGTAGAAGACAGAAAGGAAGGAGATCTGCAGCTGACAGAAATGAAAACGTGAGACATTTGAAAGTGCCACATTTTCTAAAAGAGCTTTCTTAAAGCTAGTAGACTAATCTGGAGAAAAAAATTATCTAGAAATAAGTAAGATGTCAAAGATGAACAAAACTTAATTTATTACAGTTTTGCATGTAATCATCTGAAAGACACGACACAACACTTAACTATTTCTTGGATTTGGAGTGTATTATCTGAAATACAAAGCCACTTAGTGAGCATTTTATTCAGCTAAGGATCCATTCCTTAGCTGTAATTTCAATACCACTTGTCGTGGCTTAAACCCAGTCAGGTAACTCGTTCACTCACTGCCCCCCTTCTTTCCCTCCCCCTGCTCCTGGAGGGACAGAGAGAAGAATCAAAAAGAATGCAACTCCCATGGGTTGAGATAAGAACAGTTTAGTAACTAAGGTATAACACAAATCACTGCTGCTACCACCAATAATAACAATGATAAAGGAAATAACAAGGGAAGAGAATACAACACCTCAGCACCAGCCGACCGATAACTCGCCCCCCCAACCCAACCAAGCACCGACCAATGCCTCCTCCAACCCTGCAGATTCCCAGCCCTTCCGGGGCACTCCCAGTTACCTCCTGGCCATGACCTCTTTGGTCAGTTTGGGTCAGGTGTCCTGTCTCTGCTTCCTCCCAGCTTCCCCTCCTCCCTGGCAGAGCATGAGGCTCACAAAGTCCTTGGCCAAACCAAAACATCATTGTTATCAGTTCTGCTCCCGAGCTGAAAGTCAAAACACTGCACTACACCAGCTACCAAGGAGGAGAAAAATGACTGCTACTGCTGAACCCAGGACACCACTATATAATTTATTCACCTATTTGTATATATTTCTGTGACCCTCATCACTATTACAACTGAGAGAACTATCAATTTTTTGAGCCAAACCCCCAAGAATATTAATCTTTAATTTGAAATGAATTGAGTTTCACCAGCAAAACAGGTAAGAAGGAATAACAACAAGACAAAATATTGTGATCTCTGTTATTAACAGGAGAAAAACCCAAATGACCTAGACCCCATCCTCAAAAAAAAAACAAAAAACCCAACAAAACAAAACCCCCAAAAAACACCACCACAAAAGACCACATACAAAAAAAAACCCACCCCCCCCAAAAAAAACAAACCCAGACCTTTACAAAGCCCCCCTCAAAAAACACCCCTCCCTAAAAATCCAAGTCCAAAAAAACTGTTAAGTATAAAAGCATGCTTCTCCACAATGTATGCTTGCCATTTACCAGGTAACAGATTTGTTGTTTTCTTCTCCATTACTGAATGGAAAAGTCATGCTTCTACAAGATGCTCTGCTACGCTTACGTCTATGCAGCCTAAAAGCAGTACACAACTCATGCTGAAATACTTCAAGGTCTAGTAACTGGTACTGGATGATAAAGCTTATATACATATGGTGTTTGTTAACCTGACTATGAAGCTGAACTGGCATTCTGCTAACTATAAAGCTAACAGCCATCCTACTGTTAGTCTTCATATATCTGTGATCCCTTTGACTGACTGCTCACATGTATAATTCAGATACATAAACATTAAATTACTGGAATGGAAACTACTGCCAGTTTTTCAAACGTGAAGTTCTGAAATTTTATATAAACAAATTTATCTGAGTGTTAAATTAAATTCTTTGGTTTGCAGAAATAGTGCTGCTAGTTGCAGCTTTTCCTTTGCAGTTTATACTACAACTCAAATAAAATAAGTCATTTTATATATACCAGAATTTGGCATAGACAGCTGTCCCCAAATATGAAAAAAAAAATCAATCTGGTCTCAGCAGCCTGACAAGTAAATCACTTCTCACTGCTAGAAATGATAGCTTCATTAGGTCAAGGCTGAAGCTGCTGTTCCAGCACATGGAGTAAGTACTGCATTTGTCTGGATTGTATCTGGCTTGAGTATACCCAAAGGGCTAAAATTCTTGTCTTGCTGGCTACTCAGCCATCACAAGCAAAATTCTGTCTCCAGTCCTCAAAAGGGAGAATTTCTTGCTGTAAATAAAAGAAAAAAAAGAAAAAGCTCACATCATCACAATTTCAAAATGCACATCTTCCCACACTTGTATTTGTAAATACAGTGATAGACAATTTATATTTTACATTTTTTTTTTCAATCAGTAGGATCTGGAAGAAATTTTACAAACTTAACAAAACAGTATAGAGGCAAGCTGTGTACAAGAATCACATCACTGTACACCGCTGCAATGCATCCACTTTGGCTTTAAATGTGGCACCTGGGGTGAAAACAGCACATGATTTGGAATATTTTCAGAGAAGGAAAGAATGACATTGGAACCAGAATTCTCATTCTGAGCTGTAAAAATGATAGCAAGTTTGACTCTGAGTTAAAGACTTTTTTAAAGAACTTTTTTCCTGACTTAAAATGGATTTAACATTGCTATCTTTTAAACATTAGACCTTCCAACTCTAAAAATCTGCTGAAGCTGCTCTACAGACAGTAATGGTTTCCAACCATTAAACAGTTACAAGACATAAGCAGGAAGACTGGCTTTGCCCAATGGAAATGGCACACATAAACCAGCTGTGCAACAGCATAAAAAAATCATGGGTCCCAAAGGAGCGACAGAAAGAATTTTACTGCCGGGAGTGGGTGTCTGTTCTAGTTTTTCTAACACTCAGTAATGTATGCATGAAATCACATTCAACATGGTACTTATGTGCTGTGAAAACAATGTTGTCTGCTTCCTTTTGCTTGACAATTTATCCTGTGTATGCTAGCAACTGCCTTCACATTGAAGATAAAAACCTTTAGGAGACTTAGAAGGATCAGATAGTTTGGGCTCACTTTGTTGATCTTACAGCCTCATTCTGTCTCAGGAAATGTACCGTACCTAACTACAGACCAGCAAGATAATATGGAAATGCCTAACACTTATCACTTTAGGTAACTGCAGTCTCTAAGAGTTCATTCTTATCATAAATCATAAGAAGCTAGAAAAAAGTAGCCTAAAAATTCTTGCAACAAATTAAAATTTGTATTACTAGTGCTGAGCAGATTCTCAGCAGTTTAGTTAGTCTATCCAGTACCTGTTTAATGGGAGAAAAGCAGAGGTAGCTTTTCATCCAAGGAGAAAATGTGGATTGTAGGGACAGCTCTCTTCTGCTTCAGAGAAAATGAAACAGTTGCACAGTGCCAGATAAAATGTTAAAAGAAATATATGTGTAACTTCAGGAACCAAAAAAGTTCTCCCAGGCATTCCATTATCTTTATTTATTGCTGTTATTGCAAAGTATTGCCATTCAGTTGAAGATGAAAAAGAACGCACACACCATTTAAAAACCTTTACAATAGAACTGCAAACCACTGTCAAAATAGCTGAAAGTTTTGATCAATTTTAGCTGACAGTATCAATCTGAAAATCTACGTGCAGAGTCCTACTTCTAGGAAAGAATCCACTCTCCTAGATGCAGTACTCACTTCATCTTCTAGCAGCTCTGGTCCACAGATAGGCCTAGTCTAATGTGCGTTTCTTGCAATTTTGAAATTGCATTTTGGCAAAATGAAGCATCACTTCATTCCTGTGAAGGTCATGCCGGACAAGGACATACAAATCCTTCATTTCCTTTACTAAAAAGAAATAAACAACATTAAAAAAAACTCTGCTTAAGCTCTACTTCATTAATTATCTCAGATACGTCACTTATCGTTTACAGATTAATGCCATGAACACGAGGCAGTGCAGAACAGTTCATAAACCTTCACCTCCAAAGTTTATAGTATAAAAGCATAAAAAGTTGCAGTAGATAAAACCTCAAAACACAACTAGATGCAGAACGCTAAGCTGAAATGCTTGATGAAATACTCTTGTTTTTCTGGTTTTACCTATTTCATGACTGGGAAATTAAATGAATTTGGTTAATAAGAAGCTTTATTTAGTGATAGAAAAGTTAATGGAAATTACATACCTCAGTAGATTTCATATTAATTTGAATATACCAAAACCTTTCTTTGCTGCGTCTACTCAGGAATTGTATTTTGTGCATTTGAAAAAAAAAACCCAAAACCTATAAAACAGTATAAACCAGTTTTGTGTAACCAGACAAAAAGTCTCTCTCCAAGTAATTACAGGACCAGTGGTTTTGAATATTCCTTTTAACTGCTTAAAATATTTAGGGACAGAGACATTGTGGTGCCATACTCCTCCCTAGATTCAGATTATATATCATGTTTGTCCTACTTTGAAGAAAAAAATAAACCCAGATAATTTGCTATTCATTATAACTTATGAGCAACTGGTAAAAGTTCAGCATCTTGAATGAGAAACCTTCTTAGGAAATGCTGTCATGTTTCCTGATCAAAGGATTTCTTTTTAAAGAAAACTTCTGTTAAGTCTGACACAGATAATAATCTTCTCTTGGTCTTGGCACAACAGGGTGAAGTGAAACAGTACAAGAACTGATGTGAATTTCTGTCCACACTTCATACAAATGTAGCGCAGTCAGCAACCTTCCAAAGGTAACCTGCCAAAGTCCACTTTCCCTTTCCAAACTGGAGGTTAAATGTGCCTGTAGGAGGTCAGCAGGGGCCTGTAGATGCTGGCATTCAAAAAAACTACTCACATCTAAGCAGCAGTTTCTTGCCTCTCTGCCAGGTGGGGGCTGCCACTTCCCACTGAGCTCCAAAGTAGTAATTAAATGTCTATTTGACACTATAGCTGTTATAACTATGAGCACCTGCTTTGGGACACGAAGGCTAAGAAATACCAATTGAAGCATCAAAGTATTATTCCCAACAGTCACCACCTAGCAGCATTTTCATGTGAGTCACCTAGCGCATCTACACATTTATCTGGTGAACATATTATCTTTATAATAAGTACTGACAATACCAAAGACTCTAAAACAGTCAAATGAGCTGCCATAGTAGGATGATTTTGGCTGCAAAGTTGACAGCTAGCTGAACTCCTTGCTGTTTTTCTGGCAATTCACAATTCTCTGCCAAGAGCTGCAGTTTAGATTTGAAAATTGTTATTTTGAGTTTCGGAAGCCTTTTGAACAATGCTGGCTACACACTCTCTGCAATTATCAAGATCACATTATTTTGGTTTATCAGGTAAAGAGCATGCAGAGGTAGTACTGGCTCTTACTGTCCTTTGCATGAATGCCTAGAAGTGCTCTCCACAAGAAAGCTATGAGCAGTACTCAAAAAAAGCAAGTGGTTCAGGGGTAGCTTCAGAGCCCACAGTAAAAGAGGACTCTGGTATCTAACACATGGTCATTTCAAAGCCACAAGCTCCTGAAACACAAATCACTGCCAGCTGGGAGACTATTCTGAAGACATATCCCTATGCGCTTATCCTGCTCTTACAACTGCTCTCCAGAAACCTACTTTTGGCTGGGGTCAGATACTGAGCTAAAGAGAGTTTCCCTATGACTTACCATGGACATTCATTACCAGTGTAGGTATTTTGAACAATATACTCCTGTGGCAAGCACAGTCAATAGGGGATGAATTTTTGGGGAAGTAATACAAATCCTGCCTGAAAATGTCATGCTCAAGCCAAAACCTCAGAGTTATCATGATATATACCTTTATGTAATTGCAATTACAGTGGTTCCAAGCAGAGTATCTGGAAAATCTTTACAAACTCAATAAAACAACTCACAATTACCTCAGTCTAAAAGAAAGTTGATGCTAGATTCAGTAACAAAGTGCTGTATCTGCTGAAGTGCTGCTTATGAAGAAAAGCACAAATAAAAGCTGCTGCTTGCAATAAGATCAACACAGCTTGAAGGAGTTGTATTTTTTATTTCACTGAAATGGTATGCTACTTAAGTATAATAAATTCATAAAATAATACTTCTGTTATACTTCAAAAGCAGTCATGGTCAAAGCAGCAATGGGATGTCTATGCCAGCCAAACTTCCTACTACAAATGTGATTATAGCACCAAAAAAATCATTAAGTCTAATGTATAATTATTCCATAAGTAATTAAACAATCCATACCAGCAAAAGCATTTGCATGCCTCTATAACTGCATCTACAGTCAGATTTTTTTCTAGGACTATGTCCTAACAGCAAACGAAAAGCTAGCATGGGAACCCATAGATGACCACTGCCTGTATTGCAAGATAATCCTGTCTGCAGAACAAGGAGGAAATGCATTCCTCAAAGTAAGCGTTATACAAGTATAAAGATTCTGTCACTACTAAAACAAAGACAAGTCTTTCCATTAGAAACTTCTATGAGTTGAGTAAAGAAGGCTAAATCTCATTCTTCGGCACTGAAGTCAACTAGCATGGTCTGGCAATGCCCACATTATTAACTGCCTTTAAGAGAGGGTGACCACAGCCATACCATCTGTTCACTGGGAAAAGTTTCTGGCCTCTGCTAACTCCAATACTAAGCCTGAGAGTCATCCAGGAAAATGTTGGTTTCTGCAGGTCACAGGCACACAAGGAATAAAGCTAGCAGCTTAACATAATGAGAGATCTGTTTCTATCTTCCCCATCCCCCAATTACCATTTACTGGTACACAAATAATTTTTAAAGTTATCTTATTACCCAAACCTTTGCAAAACCAGAAATGGCAACAAAAAATCCTATAATACTTTGTGGATTGTCCAGCATGCCTTTCTAATGAACAGAAACATGCTACTTAGCATTTATACTCTTTATTCTTAAGCCCTTACAGTTAGCGCTAGCAAGGAGAATGTTATATTAAGAGAGCCGACAGTTCCATCAAAACAATGCTGCTACAATTATTTAGATACAGGCAACAAAAAATTTCAGTACTCTGTTAAACATATGGCAGCAACATACTTCTCATAAGTAAAAGGAAAAATAAGAGAAACCTCTCAGAATAACACACTGAAACCCCAGTTCCTTCATGTTTCATGGTCAGGGTCATGTTTTTTGAGACCAACCATGCAGAAAATGTTTAAAAGAAGGTTTATTCATTGAGACCCCTTACTGACGAAAGAATAATGACACCTTTAAGCTTTAATTCCTTTGCTGACTTCAGAAAAATCTCAAACCATTTCTAAAGCTGGTGGCAAAACTACCTGAAAACCCACCTGTTAAAACCTCTGCCACAAAAGTAGGCAGGTCAGGTTGCACTCCACGTGAATGAGCAGAAGGCAAGCACCAGACACAGTGGACAAAACTAACCTTTTGAGGATCGGAAGTGCTTGCTGGGTGCCGTGAAGCCTCTCGTCCCATGCACATTCACAGCTGCCACACGAAACTGGTACCACCTGCTCGCTCGGGTGTCCGGCAGCCGAATGCGCTCGTCTGTAGTCTGGTGGGGAAAATCAAGCTTACATCATTGTTCTAACATGGCTGGTTGTGCTGTCCTCTCCCATGAAATACCTTAGTCAGACTGAAGATGCACCGGCGTCAGCAGGCTATATGCAACCACCTCACCTGACTCCAAGCATCATTCTGCACTGCAAAGCATTTACAGCAGTGGAAAAAATCATATAACCACCCCATTTTACAGTGCATTGGAGGTCTCTTCTGGAAAAAGTAACCTTTAGAAAACTGGTGAAGCGTTAAATTCACAAAATTGGTTTTCCAGTTATCACAACCTTCACCAGTGTATAGGGCCTAGCTCTTCAGGTGTTGACATTTCATGGAACTCTTGCTCCAGGTCACAGAACTGATTTCTCCAATTCTCAGAGAACTGGGGGTCCAACACAGTATCATGAAATCCATGAGCAGCCACCTTTTCTGGTTCATAGGAAACACAAAACCCTCAGGTAATGAATGGAAGCCTTCTTCAGATCTTTGGCACTTATTTCAAAAAGACACTCACAGACTTAACTCTTCCCTGCAGACTTTTCTCAGGTCATAGGAGATGACCTTTTTCTCCAATAGCACCCACTGAGACTGCTAGTGTCATGAGTTCAATTTCCAACTTCTGTGGAGAGTGCCTTAACTGCTGAAATATGGCATAAGCACAGACGCTTTCAGAACCCTTTCAGCAGGAGGTGCTTTATGTGCCCTTTTTCTGAGCCCTGCTTTCCTCTATCTTTTTTTTTTTCCTTTTCAACTTTTAAAAAGCTGTCTTCTGCACCGTTTCTTATTTATCCAAAAGTACAAACACCAGAACTGAATATAGCCTCCTGGTAACCACTGAATTATTGCCAAGTGCAGAAGACATAGCATTCCTGTAGAACTCATCCACTTGTTGTGGATTTTACTTTTGCAATTACCTCTCTGTCCAGTGTTCAATTTACTTTAGGATGTCATGTTTACTGCATTTTAATTTAATTCCTTAATCAAAATAACACATGAACCTGAACCAAATGTCCTGTACATGTCTAAATATACTATACAATGGTTCCTGGTGATCATTACTGACCAAATATGTGACCTCATTAAAAATGAAGTGACACCAATTTATTTTTACAAGCCCTGTTGTCTATAACTTCAAAATCCCACCTTCTCCATATAGGATTTAATGTTACTTGCAATGATGCCAAGTAGCTCCCAGAAAAGGCATGGCATGATTTCTTCTTTTTGCTCCCTTTCCAATCTGTATAAGAAAGTAGCAGCTGCTCACCTAACTCAGATAGCCAGAAATTGAGGAAGTTGCTTCAGCTCTCCAGTAATGGTATTTTTAGAGACCTAAAAAATTAAAATTTGTAGGTGTGATCCTACGCTTAGTTTCTTCATTTGGTGACAATCAAAATTTAGGGAAACAGATAGCTCATTTGCATGGGCATGCAAAGGAAAGAGAGCCTTTCTAAACTGCACTATTAATTGCTCTCAGACTGGTAAGTGCTGCAGACTTTGAACCCCTTACATACTGCTGCTACTCAGTCCTTCTCCATTCAGACTGCTGAATTTGTCTTTTTAGTGTCAGCATGGGTAACAGTCCAGACGTTTTCATCCTCTGCCTCTTTTTTTCTTTTTTTCAGCTTTTATGTTACCTGTAGAGTGAATTATCTCCTCCAGTCAAGGGGTTCCCCTAGGGAAGGAAAAGCCTACCTGAACCAACTTTTTCTACTATTTTCATTTTATGGAGCACTCAAATGTGCTAGGTTTTTTCCAGCATACTGAGGCACACATTTTCAAAAATTTATAGATAAGACACAACAGTGAACTAGAGTAATATGAACTATCACTATATCAACAGAAAAAAATCAGGGATATATTCAGACTATTGCAATTGAAATCAGTATCAGGACCAGTACCTAATTCTAATTAACTAGCTGGGTTTTTAAATACGTATTTGCTAAATTTAGTTACAAGGCAAGTATAATCTGAATAGACTTGACCCCAAATTCCTCAGCTAAGGAATCTTGTCATTTGCATCAGCTCAGCTATTCTGCTAGAACTAATTAAAAGAAAGGATTTCAATTGTGTCAGTTTTCCATGGCAACCATGAAATACTGTAAAATCAAATAATCTGTCAATACATATAACCAAAATTATTTTAATTTACGAACATGCCTTGGGGCTATTACTTTCATCATTCATTTTGTTGGCAAAGCTCCTGTTAAACTCAATGGCATGCAAGAGGTGTATCTGTAATTCCTGCATTATGCACTACTTTGGCACCTCTAAGCAACTTTTACATAAATCTGATAAATTTCAAGATAGAGCTAAATACTACTGAGATAGCTTATATTACCTTAATTGTAAATGGAACTTTTTAGTTTAATTGCTTTAGATTAGTTCTCACTATTTAAGCATGTTTTGAGCTGAGATCATAATATTCAGAGTCCTTTCATTATTTGTCTCATATAAATGTAAGGCCATACTAAATGGTTTGTGAAGTGGTGTTAAACAAATAATGTTTGAATTTCACCACACACCTAGAATTCTGCCTAAACATGAGAGAAATAATTTTACTGATTTCTTAGACTGCTAGTATATATATATATATATATATATTTAAGAAAAACAAATAAACCCCAAAATTATCATTACAGGATCATAATTAGTATTTATTTTGGCTATGCATTACCTATTTAATTAGAAAAAGAATGCTTTGAATCTAAGCTACAATCTTAATAGGTGTTTCATTTGGAATAAAATAACAAATGAGTCCTCAGATAAAAATCACTGGCCAACATGTCCACCTTTAGCACCATCCAAACTTCAATGAAGACAAGGGAAAGTTCCCATTAATTACATCAGGATGCAATTATATACATGCTCTTACGTATATAATTACAGCAGCATGCAATTATACATGCTGCTCTTATATAAGAGCAATAATTGCAATGACATAACCTGGAGAATACGGGGAACAGCTTCACTCTTCTTCCCAGGAGTGCATTTTAGATCCAAGGACAACAGGCCACCTCCAGTGGCCAGAAGGAAGAAAGTGGTTGTGCTTTCCAGTGAGAATTTGGCTAATATTTGCCCAGAGCTGCCCCATTTTGGAAGCACTGACAATTCTACCCATCTTCAACAGCAGCCCCTACCTGCTCAAGCCTGAGGTCCTCTGTAAGTAGAACCCTCACTCAGTCTTTCAAAAGGGGATTATCTGCTACTCTCTTCAAAATGCCTACAAAAATCTCCACCTGCTGCTCATACAACCGAATAATTAATGTGCTCACCCAGAATGTGGATAACCTATGTTCAATCCCTTCCTTTGTCTGAAAGGATGGGAGAAAATATTCTGTAGCATGTTGCATGCTTTTTTGAATTAGACCATGTTCTACATTCATGGGCAAAACTGTTCCTGAGAGGAAGGAAGGCTGAAAGTTAAAATTTCTCCTCAGGAAAAGGGATGGGGTGGAAGAAGAAAGAGAATATACTATCCAGCATATGATCCAGCAGCATAGGAGTTAGGCCAGACAGATGGGAATCTTGTGTCACCAATCCAAGGATTTTTTTTTTTCTGTCATTCATATATATATATATATATATATATATACGTAAAATTTGGTGCAAGGTCTCTAGCAAAGAGTGGTGCAGAGAACTCTCCCCTATCCAAGGATTACAGTATTAAATGGACTTTTTCACTGTGTTCATTCCCTTACCTTCACACTGATAATCCTGACTCCTTTCTGAAATACAGTTTCATGAAAATAGGAGAGGACAGCCTTACCCTGCTAAGTTACTAGCTCTACACTTGCATTTGAAACAACACACAGCGATAAAAGAATTTGAAGCTCAGAGATCAAAGGGGTACCATCCAGGGTACCAGAACAGCTGAGTTTGTTTCCTCTGATACAGAAGAAAACTGACAGTGCTGCATCTACTACTCTACCAAAGGACAGCAGACCTCCCATCTCATGTGAGTGCAATCCCACACAAGGTGGGCATGCTCTAAGAAGGCTTACCAAAGCAAGCCCCTCCTGGAAGATGGAGAAAGAAACCTTTAGTGTACAGGACTGGTGGTTAACTCCAGCAGAGATTTCTCACTGCCGAGGACTGAGAAACTTTTTGTGATGCTCAGAACCAGAATTTTAGGTGTCTCAGAAACTTTAAGTTTTTTTAAAAAAATTAGTTATCCACAAAGCTTAGACAATTCCAAAGAGAAGCATTAAAGTCTGTCACAATCAAGCTAGCAGTAAATACAGGCATTGTTTTGTTTTGTTTCTTTATTTTTTAATAAAGGAATAAATTAATGGGTAAAACTCATTATTGTCTGCCCCTATGTATACATACATATATATGCACACACATTCTTGACATCCATTCACACAACACACATATTCTGTCTGAAAATAACTGACCTGGCATATTTGAATTAACTTCATTAATTAACTTAATACAATTATATATCTACATTTCAAATGTAAACAGCAATACTATTATTTTAGGAAAGCATTAGCACCAAACAGAACTGTAAGTTTGTTAATAAGATATACAGTAGAATTACAGAATCAGCTAGGTTGGAAAAGACCTTTAAGACCATGAAGTCCAACCATTACCCCAGGACTGCCAAGACCACCATTAAACCAGGTCACTAAGGGCCTCATCTACACCATTTCTTAATACTACCAGGGATAGTGACTCCACCACTTTCCTGGGCAGGCTGTTCCAATGCCTGACCACCCTTCCAGTGAAGAAATTTTTCCTAATATCCAATCTAAACCTCCTTTGGTGCAGATTGAGGCCATTTTGTCTTGTCCTATTGCTTGTTACTTGGGAGAAGAGACTGAACCCCACTTCACTACAACCTCCCTTCAGGTAGTTGTAGAGAGTGAAAAGGTCCTCCCTGAGCCTCCTCAGCTGCAGACTAAACACCCTCAGTTTCCTCAGCCCTTCCTCGCAAGACTTACTCTCCAGACCCTTCACCAGCTTCATTGCCCTCACTACAAGAGAGTCCTCAATGTCTCTCTTGTAGGGAGGAGCCCAGAACTGAACACAGTATTTAAGATGCATCCTAACCAGAGCCGAGTACAGGGGATGATCACTGTCCTGGCCCTGCTGGCCACATTACTGATGATACAGCCCGGGACGCTGTTGGTCTTTTTGGCTACCTGGGCAGAAGCTGACTCATGTTCAGGCTGCCAGCAATCAGCACCCCCAGGTCCTTTTCCAATAAACACCTTTCCAGCCACTCGTCCCCAAGACCATAGCTTTGCATGGGAGCAATTGCCAAGCAGATATGTTGCCATTTACCACCACTCTTTGGGCTCTGCCATCCAGCCAGTTCCCAGCCCAGTGAAGAACACACCTATCCAGGCCATGAGCAGTCAATTTCTCCAAGAGAATGCTGCGGGAGACAGTGTCAAATGCTTTACTAAAGTCCAAACCGACAATGTCTACAGCCTTTCCCTCATCAACCAGGTGGGACACCTTATCACAGAAGCTGCTTTATGAGCAGCACGTGCAGCACTTAGGATCAACTGCTCCATGACCTTCCCTGGCACTGAGGTCAGGCTAACAGGTCTGCAGTTTCCAGGTTCTTCCTGCTTGCCCTTTTTATAGAGAGGCATCACACTGGGCAACCTTCAGTGCTTGGGTACCTGCCCACTAGACCAGGACTGCTGATAAATAATGCAAATAAATAAATAAATAATAGCAAACTCTTCTGCCAGCTCTTTCAGCAGATATTCTCATGGGACACAGCAGTAGATCCTGCTCAGACGGTTAAACCTTGAAAAACAGCAGTGTAGGAAGCTTGCATAACCAATTAGGACACTATACATCACAGCTAAGTAGTGTCTTAATTTCCACAGTTTTTATGCTAACCAACGGAAATTAGTCAAATAATTAATTATGTCAAGTTTTCACAAAAATGTGTAGTAAAAAATCTAAAGTTAACAAAATCCCTTCTTCCTGAAGGGAAAAACAACTGAAATTGTTTTGAATGTGTTTGCTTGCTGCATAGATTTGGAGACTTAAATAATCTATTAATAGATTGAGCCTTCCTCTTTACAATCTGATGATATTATAAAATACAAAGGAAACAAACTTGTTCAAAATTATTTTTTCAATACCAAATGGCTGAGCTCTTCACAGCCTTTGCCTATAATTAAGGTCTCACACCCCAATGTTTAGGAATCATACAAGGAAAAATTCTCTCTGGACAAGAAAAGCCCAGAGGCTGTGCACACAATCAAATCAGTCAAATTGGATATCCATCTTTCTTGCTTGATATTGCAAAATAAATTCTGTTGCATTCTTTGCACACGAATGTGACTGCCTGGTGGGATGTCTAAAACTACAAACACCATGGGGGTACATTACTCTAAAGAGACAGAAATTCTGATTACTAGCACGCCTCAAGGGTGCCCAGCCCCAAGGTGTACAAAGTTTGCAAAGCCAGTCAGGCATCCTGAAGACTTGCTCTGAACTGACATCCCCACTGGGGTCCATCACGCAATCAAAACCTCATCTCTTGTGATGCAGAAGGGACAGCAAAGTTGCCAGAAAGATGTCAGCTAGAGGAAGCTTCTCCTGCCAGAGTGATTAAGTCAGCCACTTCTGCCACCACACAACAGACCTGCAGCAAAGGCAGCTGCCAGGGTTACTGTCACTCTTACACAGGAAAATGTTTCTGAAACGTTCTCTTCTGTACATCCAGTGCAAGACAGAGGTCTGTACTGGAGCAGTGGAGCACATATAGTGCACGCTTCCAGAAATGTACATGAAGCCTGTTTTACAGCAGTGCTCTTCCTCCAGACCTTTGCAGTCTGGATCCAACAGCCAAAAGAGTTGGGCTTCAACAGTCTAGCACATACACATGGCATGATAAGAGTGAAGATTAATTCAGATCTGGCTCATTTTTGCTACATGGTATTTTCCTGATAGCAAAGACAGGAGGTTATTTGCTGAGTATGGACAACGCAGATTTGAGACCTGCACCTCAGCTGAGAGATAATAAATAAGTTGGAGACTTTATCAGGTTTGGAGATGTGCACATTCCCTTAGGCTTGCACAAGCAGGGTTTCATAACAGGCTCTGCTGCAGGTGACTTTTTCTAAGCAAGATGCTACAGCCCCTTGTAGCACCACACTTAAGCTAAGAACTTCACTTCTGAGTGCTCAGTTTTGCAAGTTTGACATTATTTTATGATAGCTTTTTCCTACACAATCTGAACTGGGAATGAACACAGATTGTCAGAGAATTTAAACTCTGTTTTGTAGGTAGATCCATTTATTGTTTCTTTCCCTTTTTTTCCCAGCTATAAGGGTGTTTTCCAGGTCTTTTCAAAACCAGCATTTTACTTTTCTTGTCAGCAGGAATGAGGGTGAAGCAGTTAATATAAATGATTGGAAGCCTGCCATCCAGGTGGACTGTCAGCATGTTAAATAACAGATTGAAAATGGGGAGGAACTAAGTGAAAATTTATGCTCTGTTGGCTGCTTCTCATCAAGAAACATTTGCTCATGAATCTTATATTTTCAGACTGGATTGCACTGAGTGATAAGACCATGACATCATAGGCTTTTCCAAACTTGGAGGGTCACATCTGAAAAAAAAACAACTTCACAGAGAATAAAGATTTTATTATTGTTTTCTGGTTGATTTTTTAAAAAATAGTCTTTTCACCAATTATATTTCTTATATTTTTTATAAGACACAAGCCATGCTTTCAACACTATGTACTGAGTCACAAACCTCAGAAGGACTATTTCTCTTATATGCTTCCTTCAACAGATTTTGGTATTGAATTCTACATTTTTCAAGAGATTAATGACTTTCAGAGGCTTTGGAATTCTCATCTGAATAGATCATAAGGACGTGATTACAAGAAAGTGTTACTCACTGGCATTATGCAAATCAAGCCTCCAGACAGTTCTATACATTTTTATCTATAGTGAGCAAACCTACAAAATAAACTAATTTTGAAAACCTAAACCTCTGAACATTTTTTTTTCTTTTGGGGACAAGGAAACCATTAATTATTTCTCTACCGATATATTCACATATTTTTTATAAAGTCATTTTTAATACCAAAAGCATTTGAGGTTTCTATAACTGAAAAACTGGAAGCGAAAAAACAGAAGTATTGAGTCAGTCTAGAAACAAATGAACCAGTCCAGTCTGGTTCATTCAGCAGTTTAGTAAGACCCTGGAGGTCTAGATTATGTGTGCAGCACTGTTGTGACCTGAAGAGAGACTCTATAAGGGGATCCTTCTGCATAAGCCTTCCTACCTGTAAGTAATCTAACTCTTCTCTAATCTGAAGAAGACCTTTAGATCATGATCTGGAAGATAGCGACCCACACCACTTTATAAACAACTGACCTGTGCCACAGTTTGCCAGTTGGTAGCATCATCCTCACTTGGATGGATTCCTTGATTCCACCTCCTCTGAACAACATAGATCACAGGCTCAATGGAAATATTGAATTTTGAAGACCACTTCACCTCTAGGTCTCCAGACTGAAGTTCTATGAATTTTAATTCTTTCCGAGGTTTCAGTGGAACACCTGTAATAGGAACAAGCAGACAAAAATATGTGAACAATTTAAAGATGTGATTAAACCAGATATAGATTAAGCCGTACAAAAAATAACTAAAGAAAAAAGAAGACTGTTGGTTAGACAGAAGGAAAAAAGGGGGGAAGGCAGCATGGGAGTTTCAGAAAGGCTCCCAGCTGACCTATCTCTGCTAACAGTAAGACTTATTTTTACAGAAGTCTTCAAAATTATTTATTTCATTTAAAAACTAAAGGATCTGAAAGTCATAAGCTAAAATTGATCTCACAGAAAATACTTTCCAAATATGCTTTGGTAATCTGGAGAACGATCTCATTGTTATCAAGCAGAATCAGCTATTCCTTTTGTTCAGTTTTTAACCTAATTTGTCCTTAAACACATTTAATGACAGAATTTTCACAGCATGACATAGTAATCTATTCCACTACTTCTATCCTTACCATTAAAAACCTTTCACACTACCATGTTTAGTTTCCTGCACTTAAACTTGATAGTTGTCCATGATGTTCATGGATTGTGGAGAACATGTTCTTTCTTTCATCTATGGAGGAGCCTTTTATGTACCCACAAGACTGTTATCATGCCCCTAAAAGTTTTCTTTTTCAGTCTACTAACCTCAGTGCACTCCATTTTCTTTTAAATCAGTGTTTCTAGACCTCTGATCATTCTTGCAGCTCTCTTTGGAATCTCTCCCATTGGCACACAGCCCTTCAGAGTCAGGCCTAAAACTGGACACAGACTGCGCCCAAACTCTTACCATTTCACACATCTTATGATATACTTAAGAAAGCTGTTTGCCTTCTTCATGGTAGCAAGATCTTACTGACTCATATACAGCTGTATTGTATGATGTGTCACTGTCCACTCTTCCCTAAATATACAGGAAAGGTAATTCCGAGGCATCTTGGAATAGATAGCTCTTATGCATGATGTCCAATTATTACCTTTTGAAGACAAAGATGTGTTTCTAAAATTTTACAGTAAGTTCTCCTTACACAGGGACACTGAAGGATGGTTCCATTGCTTATAATGCTGGTAACATCATATTTTTAAAAACATCCGCAGTAGCTTGAAGGAAAAAAACTCTTCAAATTTGGCATCTTTTGATTAAATCAACAAAATCAAGTGTTGGATACATTTCTCTAGAAAGAATTTAGGAACTCATATATTTCACTGCACAGCATTTTGTCACTTCAGAATATGTCACAAGTAAGATTTCTATGCTGACATACAAACCTTCTTAGCAAGTTATCAGACCCACTTCAGTTATTTTGACATTTCACTGGGTGTCCACAGAAGTACAGCTGTATGTGTTGGTTTGATAAACTGTTTCCCACTCAGTCTGCCACAGATGACTGAGTACCAAAATTTCCTTAGGTGAACAAATCACTTTTGTATTTTAAGAGGTGTTCTCCTAAATCTGATTATACAATTAGCTACAAGTAAATAAAAATTGATCCTGTGGCCCTTGAACAAACCTAAAATCAACCTGAGTACTTAAATCCAGTTATCACAGCAGTTTAAAGCCTGGATATCCTCCAACAGCCTGCAGTCTTAGTCTAATATAATGAAAATCGTACAACATGTCAGCTCAGATTTCCACATTTGAAAATCCTTCTTTAATTGTGATGTACAATAATCCTACAATTTGCATGTAAAGAAAACTTCCATCTGCTTTGCATTAGAGGCAGTTGGATTCACTTGATTGCAAGTATATCAGTGTCGTGGTTTAAACCCAGTCAGATAATTCGTTCGCTCACTTCCCCCCCTTTTCTTGCCCTCCCCCTGCTCTCGGAGGGATGGAGAGGAGAATCGAAAAGAATGCAACTCCCACGGGTTGAGATAAGAACAGTTTAGTAACTAAGGTATCACAGATCACTACTGCTACCACCAATGATAATAATGATAAAGGAAATAACAAGGGAAGAGAATACATCATCTCACCACCAGCCGACCGATAACTCGCCCCCCCGGCCCGACCAAGCTCTGACCGATACCTCCTCCAACCCTGCAGTCTCCCGGCCCTTCTGGGTCACTCCCAGTTACATCCTGGGCATGACGTGCTGTGGTATGGAATACCTCTTTGGTCAGTTTGGGTCAGGTGTCCTGTCTCTGCTTCCTCCTGGCTCCCCTCCTCCCTGGCAGAGCATGAGGCTCACAAAGTCCTTGGCCAAACCAAAACATCACTTGTTATCAGCTCTGTTCCCGAGCTGAAAGTCAAAACACTGCACTGCACCAGCTACCAAGAAGGAGAAACATGACTGCTACTGCTGAACCCAGGACATTATCCACCCCTTATTCCATACCATTCACGTCATGCTCAGATCCCCCATTTTCAATATACTCTTATCTTAGTGCATGGACCAGTCCCTATAAAGCTGCTGAGTCCATCTGGTCCATGATGTCAGGCTCCATCTCTTGTAACAGTCTTCCAGAGCAGGAGAGACTGTGTGCAGTGTTCACACTTGTGAATAACCTGGGCAATAGTGTCCATTGCTAAGTCCACCCCTCAATCATGAGTCCATCTCTGTGTTGCATCTCTGCTCTGCTGGCCTGAAGTGCCATGGGCCCACCAGGCTCAAAATAATTCACTGTCCCCTTCAGCAGTTTCTGCAGCTTGTTGCTGGGGACTCCATACAGCTGCCTTCCATCTCCGATGCTTCCAAAGCACTGGAGGGGCCCAGTGGACTAGATACTTGCCCATACTGTCCCACACACCCTGCCACTCCTGGCTGTCCAGCCTTGGGGAAAACCTCTTGGTCCCCCCATATCCTCGTCTAACCCCAGACAAGACCCAAACCTGACTCTGCTTAACTTTTGAGATCAGACAAAATGGTGGTGGGTAGAACACAGTCTGTGTGTGTGCCAACATGCTGATCCCCATCACCATCAGCAGGCAAGTCCCAAGGACACCCAAAGGCCATTCAAAACCTTCAGAACTCTCAAACGATGCTGCTGTACTTGTCACTGGGGCTGGTGTAGCCGCTGTGCTTGCCGGCTCTCCCACCGCCAGCTTCTCTTTTCCTGAGTCCAGCTCTTCCTCCTCCGCCTTGCCGGGAAATGCTGCGTGGTCTCCTGCATCCTCCTGGGGCTCGGCAGGCGGCTTCCGGGGAATGCTCTCGGCCGTCGCTTGGTCCCCGGGGCCTCTCTCCCGGGCCGCTTCGGCTGCCGCCGGCTCCCGGGGCCGCTCCCCCTCAGCTCCCCGCAGCCTCACGAAGATGGAGAGTAGGGTGAGGGCCAGGACGGTGAAGAGCAGCCGGACGGCCAGGTACAAGTCCACGGCCACGTCCGTCCCCCCCTGCTGCTGGGGCCCGCCCGTATTACAAGCCATTGCCATAAAGCACAGTGAGACAAGAACCTTAGCCCAGGCCCCATACTTGATAAACACTATCACAGCAAATACCGGCTCTAAGTAAGTTACAACATTCTGAAGCTGTGAGATCAAGCAAAACAACTCTGAGACCCAATAAATCAGCATTGTGACGAGTGACTATTAATCCAGTCAGATCTGTCGTTATCTCAACCCTTCGTGCCCCACGTTGGGCGCCAAAAAGAACTGTCGTGGTTTAAACCCAGTCAGATAATTCGTTCGCTCACTTCCCCCCCTTTTCTTGCCCTCCCCCTGCTCTCGGAGGGATGGAGAGGAGAATCGAAAAGAATGCAACTCCCACGGGTTGAGATAAGAACAGTTTAGTAACTAAGGTATAACACAGATCACTACTGCTACCACCAATGATAATAATGATAAAGGAAATAACAAGGGAAGAGAATACATCATCTCACCACCAGCCGACCGATAACTCGCCCCCCCGGCCCGACCAAGCTCTGACCGATACCTCCTCCAACCCTGCAGTCTCCCGGCCCTTCGGGTCACTCCCAGTTACATCCTGGGCATGACGTGCTGTGGTATGGAATACCTCTTTGGTCAGTTTGGGTCAGGTGTCCTGTCTCTGCTTCCTCCTGGCTCCCCTCCTCCCTGGCAGAGCATGAGGCTCACAAAGTCCTTGGCCAAACCAAAACATCACTTGTTATCAGCTCTGTTCCCGAGCTGAAAGTCAAAACACTGCACTGCACCAGCTACCAAGAAGGAGAAACATGACTGCTACTGCTGAACCCAGGACAATCAGCCTCTCTGGTGTTACGTAATTGCGCGCAGATGGGGCGCAGCAGCACAAACAACGAGAGCACTGCACAAGTGCATTTTAAAATACTTTTGTATAGCCAGCACCATCAATATACTATCCAGATGTGTAGACCAAATTACTCTTCAATGTGCTTTTTATTATGTAAATGGTCGGCCCTTTCATCATGCTGGAACAAATTAGTCCTCTGAAGTCCACAGCTCTTAACTGAAGAATTCAAATCTGATTGCTGTACGTCTGCAATACCAGAACCTAAGAAAAATGTTTCTAAAGGTGTCTTTCAAACAGCACGTGTATTGCTACGCCATGAAAACATAAATGCACATTGGTCCTTCATAAGAATCTGTATCTTTAATGTAATCTACAGGAATGCATGTTTCCATGGAAGGGGTTTGGACTGTAAAGGGTTTATTCCTGGCATCTGTACCATTGTAACACAGTCATTCAAAGACTCAGAGATGTGCACTTTTAAAACTGTACACTGTTTTTTAATACAAAACTATTTTTCTTTAAGCATGAATAGAGCCTTTAAACTATGGGTGACCATTTGGCTCTAGCTGCCCTATTGTGATGTGTTCGTAACGTCACAACCTTTAAATGGCGTATCTTCTCATCACAATTTACCTTGCCCAGAACTGCAGTTCAGTCTGCTATATGGATTGTTCCCTTACACATCTCATACAAAACTAGTTAGCCTGCTTTAGACAGCATAAACCCTAAATCTCTGTTAAAAAGAGGTCCTGAAAAGTTCACACAAGTAGGTGTATCATCACATCTGAGACCACTAACTTCTGAACAGAAAAAAGATGATGGGTAATGTTTTCACCTGTCACCAGCTGTGTGTAGAAGAATATAAATGTCCTTGTCCCCTCACTTGGGGAATGCATATGTGCACATTAGACAAAGTGAATGCAATCACACATTTTCCATCCTTTTCTCTTCATTCCCTTTTTTTTTCCTACATTTTTTAACTATTATATTTCTGATCACAGATATTGCTCCCATTTCTATTTCTAAAGTACCAAATCTTCTTCAGGCACTCATTGTTGTTTATAACATCATTATGTCCATATAGAAAACAAAAACCTGATAGGCCATGGAGAAGGGACACTTTCTAAAGTCCTTCACTAGTTGAAGTGATATAAAGAAGGAAGATGAGGAAAAGTAGGACAGAATATTTGATATCTCCAGTAAAGGGAAATAAAAATGTGAAAACTATGTAACTGATTATGAATACTCCCAACAAAGATGAAAAAATACAATGTCAATGGACAGTTTAAAAATTATAGTGAATGAAAGCCAATAAACAATTAAGGTAACAAGTAACCAAACTTGTTATGTTAATCTAACAACATTTGCAATATATGACTTTGGTGGCAGTGTACTTACATTAATATTCTTTCAGAATTGGGATTTACCACTCAGTACTAGAGGGCAAATCCAGTTTGTAAATCCAGATGTGTATTTTAAATCTGCTGCTGTTACTACTATGAGCTTGATCAACAGTAAAACTATAGGGACTCCTGTAGACTCTTAGATTCAATCTGTATTCATTTTCCAGCTGTGAGTGTTGTCAAAATTATAAGAGTAAATACTAAACCTATTCATTAGACCTTAGACGTGCTTTCCAAGTTTGCTCTTCCTCAGTGACAGGAAGGTCATTTACCCCTGGAAAAAATGAATAGCAAGCCTGCTCTGCTTCTATTTGTCCTGTGTTGCAGAAAGACAGGTTGAAGAGCTGAGAAGGCAGCAAGGTATTGGGCTTGCCCTTCCTTTGCAAGACATATATGTATGCTCTTACAAGCAAGCACCTCCTGCAGACAGGTGATGTTAGAGATTAGTTCTGTTCCTATATAATCAGGCTGAACAGTAGTAGACTTTCCAGTGTGCAGTTACACAACATATCATACGCTGTCATACCCTATGTCCTCTGCAAAAGCATGCAGTCTCATTTCATTTGGTTGGTTGGTTGTTTTTACCTTTTTTCAGTTATTACATTTACCACAATGCTTTGCAGTTTTGGTATGAAGCCTGATCATGTAAATCATTACATGTACAATACAAATGCCAGTTTATCACTCTGATCATTTGTCTCAAGAAGATGAAAGAAATAACTAAGTAATCAATTTTAATAATGTTCATTTTGAAAGGTGCTGTGTACAAGAGAGTTAATTCCTTACAGTTGTAAAGGGGCTGCTCTGAAGTATCTTAGAAGCAAGAGAATTTCCCTTCTGCACTGGAAATCTAGATCACAGTACTGACTGCTGTTCAAAATACTCTGAGTACTATCTTCATCAAACTTATGCTTACTCAACCTCTATGACTTCTAGATAAAACTTTCTCTATTCATGTAAGTAAATAAGATCGTGTTTCATGACAGCCCATTCTGTACACACAATGAAGGGATTCAAAAAATCAAAGCACATTATTTCTGACATACATTCTCATCCCTAGGGACATTCAAAAACATGCATCACCACTTCAATTAAAATAATGAACTTAAAATCACCATCTCCTTCACATATTTCACTATTTTTCCATCCATAGAAATAAATCCTGGAGCCTGGAGCTTAGTTCAGAGTTCCGCTGATTAGGCTCTCCACAGAGAGCCCATACTATCAGAATAATAACTGATTAATATCCAGTTTTGTTGGGTTTTTTTTTCTAACAAAACATTCCAACTCTGCAGAACAAGAAAATGCCTTGCATAAATGTTAATTGTTCTGCATTAGAAGCACATTTTCAGAATATCTCCATGTATAAAGCTTTTTATAATTACAAGAAATTAAAATTTGGAGTTTATCTAAGCAAACAATTTCTTCATATAAAAGTTCTTGCCCATGGATGTCAAGGAAAACTTTTTTTTACAGAATCTCAGGACTCAGATTAAATTTTTTTTAATAATACTGCCTTAGATTTAAATAATAAATCTATATACATATGTGGATATTATAATCTTTCACTTTTTTTTTTTTAAGTCATTAATAACACCAATGCCAAATATACCACATTAATTTGTTCTTTTACTAGCTCATCTCACATATCCTATTTGGTAGTCCTACCTCCTTGGCTTATAAAAAAAAATATTGTTTGATTAATAGGACTTGGACGATTTATTGGTAAATATTTTCCTGCTGCATTCTCTCTCATCTCCATCAAATTAAGTGAGACTTCACCTAAACTGGCAAGTTTGTTCTGCTTAAGATGATTCATAATAGTCACATGTTTACATTCCACAGATTTCCAGACATGGGCTTCACAAGGGAAAAAAAATAAAAATAAAAATCAGAAAGCTGAGCAACATTTTTCTCTGGCTTTCAACTCTTTCAGTGTCCTACCACATCTCTACAGGCACCTCTCCTTTTTTTCCCAACCGTACAAACTCATCTGAAATGAAAGACCTGGTTTCTGAGGAGACTTTATTATGGAATGAAGTTATTAGTCCAATATGAACACATATTAATAATCTCTACCTTTGTACAGATTTTTTGGAACTTGGCACGTATGCCCACATCCATTGGAACAGCATTTCTTCACTCCCGAACATTCACTGTCAGCTTCACAACTTTCAACACAGGCAGCTGCAAAACCACTGGCCTTCTCAGGTGCTGGGCAGTCCCCTTGCTTTACAGACAGGATGTACTTAAGGAATTCACAGCTAGTTAGGCATTCATAATTCTTCTTGGGGAAAAGAGGCTAAAGAGAAAACAAAAGAACACATAAAGTTTTCAACCGGTCAAACCCAAATAATTAATTAAAAAAGTGGTACTTTTTCCAAGACCTCCTAAAGAAAAATTCAGATTCTCAGCTTTTGCAAGACTATCCCTGAAGATTTACATATTCAAGCCACTTCTAAAAAATCATTCCAAGTACAGAATGATGAATTCCCTCAAGTAAGACCACCATCTTTAATGGAATAAAGTTGGTTTTGTCTGCCAACTTTCCCTTGTTTTGCTCACACTGGCTGGCTACAAAGTTGCTCAATGCCAGATCAAAAACATGTCCAAAACAAAAGGGAAGCAATGGTCAGATGGTCTTCTTTTTTTTTTTTCAGACTACCCACATTCCTCCATTTGTACTTCATAACACTTTACCCACAGTATCTGATGCAATACCACTCTAGATAAATAAGTGCAATCTTGTTTCATTATACTGTTTGAACTGAGTTGGCTATGAGAAGATTTTGCAGCATCTTTATGTCCTTGCCAGCATATTAGTAATTGTGTAATTCTTCATGGAACTGGAACTACATTTCTGATAAAAATATTAACAGAAAATACAGATTAAAATAAGCATTAAATATATTGATTAAGGATCAAAGCAAATGCTACTTTTCAAAGAAATCAAGTCCTAGATATATGAGCAGTTGCTTCAGTGCATAGACATTTTATAGCATGTGTATTACTCAGTGATTTGCAAGGTTCACTTAAAACTGTATTGAGAAAGGATATATCACCCTGGTGAGAACATTGTGTACTACATGGGGATTTCATATCCTCTTTTATCTGGTGATTTAATTAGTTTGGTGCAAAGCCAGCTAAAATGATTCCCTCAAAGTGATTCATGCAACTGTAGATGGGCAACCCATGCAACTGGGGTTATCTACAGCCTGCCTTTCTATCTCAGAGTAAACAAAAACCTTCCACTCTGACAGATCTGATTTACAGATTCCTAAACCTACACAGAAATTATAACCCAGTCCTCATCCAACTATTCATATAACTTCTGCAACTTCCTTCCATCTTCAAGGGTGTTACTTTCTTATTTTTACTGTTCTCATATTTCTGGCAAAATGAGAAAGACTTCAGTATTATGGAGGCCCAGGTGTTTCACAGATTGTGTGTCAGTTTATGCTCAAAAGTGACTTTTTGGTCCAAGAACAATGCCACTACATTACCTCTCCCATCTTGTCCTGCAGAGCAGTCCAGAATTTTTGAATCAGGCTTTTGAAGATGCATTTGGGTGTTATGGCTTAACCATATGGATACCAAAATGAGAAGTCCTTATATCTCCTACTGACCCTGTGATCTCTGCACATGGGCTCACGCTGTTCCTGCCATTGGGATGCGCCTGATCCCATGGTTAGCCAGTTAAGAAGCTACCAGCAGGAAAGTGAATTTATAGGGAGAAAAAAAGGAATTAAGTAAACTGTCTTTCTTCCTCACACATAAGGTTGCTTTAACATTAGTGCACTCATTCAGTAGATAAGAAGTAACATATCAAGCATGGACCTTGAGAAACAAATGCTAAATTGTTGCTTCCAGATTTTTTGCAAAATACAAAATGATTGAAAACACTCTCAAAGGAAAACAGCCTTGTTTAATTCAATCAAACAATGTCTATGGATCATAGATGAGTCTGAGAGAAATGAAAGTGGCCCTGTGCTTTGGTGTGTGTGAAACCAATTTCAAATCCTAAAACGTCACAAATTTGCAGCTACTTAATTAAAAACTTTATAGCTCCCTGAGGCATAATACGTCCTCAAGGCTTCTCCTCCTCACCCTATTTCACAGCTCATTTTTCAGTTAGCTGCTAAATGTGCTGCTCTTCATTAAGGGCCTTTGAAGTTCTAAATTTAGCTTCAACCACAAAACACTAATCAAGGAAGGATGGTCACTGTTTTTAACTACTGTAGAACAGTGTTCTACAAATGTTTTCCTTTTAAACCAATTTTATACATATTTTCACCCAAATCTGGAAACATACAGCCTGAGAAGTGATGTATGAGATCAACATAAATTACATCCACTAAAAATGCTTTATTACACTACCCTAGAGTTTTGTGTATGAGGAAGCAGCAATTAATTTGTGCTAAAAAGTTCATACAAGGATCGGTTTTCATGAAAAAAAATTACTTTGTCTTGTAAATACGTAGATCAGTAATCCCTATTTACACATAAATTGGTGGTATTTTTAGTTGAAATTACAGCTTTTTCCCAAACATCTTCATGATACTTAAAGTCATTTAGACATAAAACATGCTCTTGTACTGGAAAAAATAGTGCTGAGAGTGGTGAGGGAGGAGTTACATCAGTATTAGCAGCTAGATCGTTATTCGATTAAGGTCCCTTCTACTTTTTTATAGAATAAGCTTCGTAAACATACACTTTCATAGACTTGATTAAAGTTGTATCTTTATATTGATTTAGTCATAATAAAGCAAAATTCTACTGAGATTATATTTCCATTTTGTACCTAAAACCACCTCAGAAATGTAACTTTTGAGTGTGGACTTTCACCAATTCAGCAGAGCCATGTTTCAAATCCAGTAAAACCATTTATTTTTTTCTTTTCTAGAAATCAGATTGACTTTCACATACAGGAAAGCATCTGTTCTAGCTACCTTGCCCTAGGATTTTCACACAATGACATTTTATCTTTTAAACAAAGATGCTCTTTCTTACTCTTTCTTTCTATGGCCAGAAAAGATAGAACAGCATGTGGTAGAAATAGCATCTTACTGGAAGGATTTAACAGCACCTTCTGAGAGAAGCTATGTAAGTGTGGTTGGATCAAGTCTTAAAACTTTAAGCTGAGAGAAATCATTTGTTCAGAAAAAAAAAAAGGCAAAAAACGAAGAAAAAAATCCTTTTTTTATTTTTAACCCCAATATAGCTAAATTGTTATATGTGTACCTATTCAAATGTAGGCAAATGCTGTGAAAATTACATGTTTGTTAGTTGTCTCCTTGAAAGTAATAATTTAAATGAAAGAGACCGCTAGAGCAAAGTGAGAAAGAGTGCCCTTGGGCCGACTTACATCACAGAAGCTTTGGCAATGGTTTTTCTTTAGGTCCCAGGACTCTTTGCAGGGCTCCAGGCACTAGGAAAAATCAGGAGGAAGAGGAGTGTCAGAAAGAGAAAGAAATAAACAACCAGAAATGACCCCATTTCTTCTCCAGTTTTTTGTTTGGCCTATAGGAAGTTAATAATAGGCTTTAAAACTCTACTTCTCTTGAGGATAAGACTGTCATTGAGTCATGGTGTCAGAGCAAGGTCATGCCAAGCCATGGTTAGATTACAAGAAATATTTTCAGTTTTTGTTACTGTACAAAGCACTTGCCTCGCTCGATTATATGCCATCCTATTTTCCACATTATTGAATTTAGGTCCTAATACCATTTAACACTGTGTCACTAGATCACAGAGACAATGTCAAAAGCACTACTCTCAACTACAGGAAGTTAAATCTTCCCTTCGCTGACCAGCCTAAAGATTTGATGGGCGTATTGCCTTCCCAAGCAAGAAATTATTTCATCAAGCTATGGAGTAAACTTCATAGCAGAGGTTTAACCACTATTCCTGCATAAATAGACAACGTTCACTGGTCTGTTAGCAAACCACTTTATTTCAAGTACCACATTATCATTTCTTCACCTGCAAGCTCTACTGCAATGTTTACACAGAGAGTTAAGATTCAAACTCTGCAAACCAAAGTCAAGCTTCACAGTTTAGAAAAATCACACTATTAACATTTTCTGCAGCTGAAACATAAATTCAGACTCACATCCAGAAACATTTTCTCTGCCTTTGTTAAGACATACAATCTTGGAAAATTATGTAATTGTTAGGAATTAATATCACCTACTCCTTCTGGTAATAGTGCATACTATTGCACCAAAAGATACTTACTGCACCAAAAAGAAAGGCTTTTGACATGCAATTCAGAATTTATATAATTTGTTTCTTTTATACATAGTATTAGATTGGATCTATATGCATTTACGCTACTCAAAACCAAGCATAAATACACATAGGTTACCACCTATATCATACATATACTAAAAAAGTTAGTTTTTTTAAAGTTCAGCATTTCTCTTATTAGTGATAAAGCCTGAAAATATAATAAAACCATTAGTCACAGAGATACGTATTTCAGCAATGACAAATACCACTTAAACATTTCATATATATACATATATATATATATATATAGGTATTTTATAGAATCATAGAATAGTTAGGGTTGGAAAGGACCTTAAGATCATCATGTTCCAACCCCCCTGCCATGGGCAGGGACACCTCACACTAAACCATATCACCCAAGGCCTCATCCAACCTGGTCTTGACCATTGCCAGGGATGGAGCATTCACAGCCTCCCTGGGCGACCTATTCCAGTGCCTCACCACCCTAACAGGAAAGAATTTCCTCCTTATATCCAACCTAAACTTCCCGTTTAAGTTTTAACCCGTTACCCCTTGTCTTATCACTACAGTGAGACTCAACTCTCTAGCTTTTCAAAATTCACAATATGTATGCTTTATACAAAGTAATTGGAAGGATACATCATAAAATGTCACTGAAATCTGTAAGTTTATTTAATTCCAGAGTGTTGGTTCCTCCTATGGCATAGTTACTGTACGTTTAAGCTCAATACCATTGGCATGCCAATTTTGCAGTTCTCCTGTCTGATGTACAAATTACAGAGGTATAAAATACTGTAAAGTCAAAATGGGCAACATTTAGACTTTGTCAATGATCCCCAAGGCTCTCAGGATTTTCATATCCTTGCTTCACTGCTGCATAGCACAGAGAGCTTATTTATACCAACATATCAATATTGAGATGACAACTAGGACCAAGTTTACGCTGACCAGACCACCTTACTTGCAGGCTCTAGAGCAATACAGTTCATATTTCTGGAAGTAAAGACCAAGATGCTGTATGCTTCACAGGGTTTGTTCAAGGCATTTTTACCAAGGTATCTCTACCTGCTATATAAGTAACCTCCGACACTTGATGCCTTGTCTGGCTGCCACTCTGTCACAATAATCACTCAGGACAGCCCAGACTACTTTCAGCATCCCCTGCCATCAGGGCAGGCAGAGATGATGGGCATCTCAACTCAGACACTTCAAAGGACAGATGGACAAAGTGAACCAGGGCTGAGCAGTATCCTTCAGTACAATTGCTCTCAGAATACTCCAAGAAAAACAGATGATGTAGCAAGCCGTAAGTCCTCCATCATAAGCTTTATAGGCTCCGATTAGAGTGCATGCTCTTACCTATATATGAACAAAAAAAAATTTTTTACATGAAGAGTTAAATGTGTTCCAGATCCAATGTCCTATATACATGTTAGTTCTGAAGAAGAGCTATTGTGTAAATAGATTTGCCCTTTTCCAGGCAACTCAGCTTTCCAGCAGACTCTCTGTCCTCATAAACTTTAGCCTGCCTGGTTCTGTTAAACTTTTTCACCCCATTTACATTTGTAACTCTGATTTTTATCTTTTCTCTGCAAAAGACTGTGGGTTTTTCTCATCTTTGGCATGCTCTGCTATGAACATGCATCAAGATTAGTCTATTGAAGAATATTTTCCAATGTTTTCACAATAAAAGTAAAGCATTTCTCCTTCCATTGTGGATCTCTCCCATTATATCAACAGCAAGTGAAGATTTTCTGACAGGTATCATTCCATGCATAATAAAAATTATAGTCAAGAAAATGTGAGTCAGACCCAGTTGGCAATAACACCTGTTTTTTTAAATCCAAGTCTTCAGAGAATACAAAAAAAAAAAAAAAAGCATACAACTTAATATTTAAAATTTTAGTAATACATTTCTAATAATTTCAAAGCAAATCAGCAGAGGCCTGACTCAAAGTTTCTCCACACCAACAGGAGTTATTTGACTGCTCTTTAGCTTAGCCTTGATGTCTGAAAGGAAAGCACACAGCATTTCTCACCAATTAGAATAGTGTCAAGGAAATACCTAAATCACCCATGATAAAACTATTTTCACCCAGCAGGTAAACACATCCAGGTTTTCTGGATTAGTGCAAATGTGTGTGCCCGTTAAAAGGATATTGAAATTCTCTATCCAGGATAAGGAGAAATCTAGGCCAAGCAGCAGCTGGCAGCTGGTTCTGGCTCTACTTTGTGTAATAAAATATACCTTGCAGACATTACCACCTGCCCTCAGAAGCTAAACTTATATGTTGATGTATGCCATGTAGGTGGCAGACCATCAGCAGGCGGAAGGACAGTAGCATGGGAAGCGCTCCAGCAGTTCTTTCAGCAGATGCCACTGCTCCCTTGGAGCTACTGCTGACTAATGCCCTGGCACCACCATGAAGGCTGCTCTGCTGCTGAGGTGGGAAGAGAGATGAATCACAGTGTTGAACCCATCATTAGTGGCCAATGTCATTCTTCAGATGATGAGTGTTAATCACACTGGCCTTGATAAATTGAATCCTCCTAAAGGACCTGTTTTATCATCTGCTGTGGTTAAACCTGGAAGCTGTAGGCTTGCTTTCTTTACCCAGACTGCTGTAGAATTGTTTTTCAGTACTAAGTGATTGCATCAAAAGCCAAAAGGAGTGCTAATAGAAAGTACCACAGCATTTGTCATCCTTGGTTGGGGGGGCTGGGGAGAGTTTTCATACACACAGAAGTATAAAAGTATATATCAGATAGTACTATAGATCTGTTATTAGACTGTATAAAATTAGGAACAATAGCAAAGTACTGCTTCATTCAGGGAAGAAGTTGTTTTAAAATATTTTATTTTATATTTAATTAAAAATATGCAGCTAAGGGCTCTGTTAGAGAAGTGGGCTTTGTTCTAATTTTTAAATTCTAAATAAAGCAACTATGAGATTATTACATGATGGATGCCATTTACATTCGTTAATAAAGGGATTTTCAAAATAGTCTACCAAAACTTGTGCTTAGGATATGTTGCCTTTGACATGAAAGGGAGAGAGTTGCACCAACACAGCAATTTTGAAAGTCTAAAGAACTGTAAACATCATTTAAGTAATGAAATATTTATTCAAATACTGAATATTTATTTAAATATTATGTTAAAGTTAAATAGTTGAATGTTGTAACTATTTAAACAGCAATATTTTTGTCTGGTAAGGCTTCTTCCTTCACCAAAGTGGAAGTAAGTCACACGCAAACTCCTGCCAAAAGAACAGACACTAAGTGTTACAGCTGGAATATAATTATCCTTTTCATTATCATTCAACATTCCAGTTGTCCATAACAGCAAGGTCAGAAATTAAAACTGATGTTTGCAACATACATTTAAGTGTTGTGATCTCCTAAGGTGTTTAGTTAAATGGAACTTAGATGCTTAAAATAGCCACCTTTCAGGGTACAGTCTCCTAAGAACCTGCCACCTCCTGAAGATATGGTACCTGAAAAATGCAGATACTCACTGTCAGGTACTGAGCAGAGAAAATTGTTGGGGTCAGGAATTTAACCAAAGGAAAACATAGTGTTCATTACTCTTAGAATACATTTGTGATGGCTACACTTAAATATATGGCTACGCCAAAAGGAATTGTGAGAAAAGCAATTTTCAATCTTCAAATCTCAGCACAGTGGCAGCAAACACAATGAAAAATACAAACAGACCGCAAGACAGAAATAAGTGATTTTGAGACTTTTTTTTTTTTATCTACTTCTGCTATCAGTAGGAATAGGAATTGTTACCTTATGGGTTTCTCAGTGGACTGTGAGTTGTCTGAAGAACACAATTTTTTGCTTTCAGAACAGTAAATGCACAGCTGAGTATCTACCCAGTCTAAATTACTTAACAGCTTGGTAGAACAATATCAGATATTAGCAATATCACATCATACAAAATCTTCTGAACAGTCTGAACAACTACTTTTCTGCAGGATGCATTTACTTAAACTATTTTTCATTATAAAACTGAGGCAACTCATCAGGAAGATTAATAATTTAAAAATGTTGCCACATCAATTAAAAAAATAAATTTCCTATTAGTTCTGGATTATACTTTCCCAAAAGGTCCTTACACGCACAAAACAAGCCTCAAACATTCTCTCTCTAGAAGAAACAACTCATTTA